CACCACAGACAGGAGAAGGGATGTAAGAGAACATTGGCATGTCTTCACAAAGCAAGCCCAAAATGTGCGTAGTTAAATATTTCAACCATACAAAGGTTTCTCATAATCAGATACAAAAATCATAAAACGAAAGTTACCTTGCATGCCAGATCAACAAAGCAGTCTCCTTCCTTGATTTCTCTTAACATTGGAAAGTTACTGGAATCTACAGAGCAAATGCAAACCTTATTAAATATCGACACATATAAAACGAGCACCAACATAGCTTGTAAGGTGATGAAATCAACAAAAAACCAAAAGCTATCATCAAATCAATGACTTGTCACACATGTATTTTAAGTAGCAGGTAGTTCTTGATAGAGCAAACCTAAAGGGCTATTTCATAGTTTATCGGGTTTTGAAAACCATATGTGCACAGGCGCTCGTGTGCGGGCAATTTACAGGTATTTTGTATTATAAAATTTATATTACTCTCATTGGAGTACTGCACCACAATGTTACAACAACGCTTGATAGAATGAATTGCGAACCTTAAACAGTACGTGCATGCATATCAAGTATAGTTTGGAGTAAACTACTTAAAATCAATCAGCTGCTTTCAAGACATATTGAACGTTACAATCATAGACTACCTTCAATAAGCTTAAAACTGACCAGCCACTTTCTGAGCTTGTCTATGAGCGCTTTGTCCATATCTCTCGGATGAAATTTTGATGAAACTTGGTAAGGGACAAAATAATCATTGTCTTTCCCATTATATAATGCAAAAGAGGAGATCCTTTTATTGAAGATGGCATTTACTTCATCACCGTGAGTTTGTATCTGCAGAATTAAAAAGCATATATTAGAAATTTTAAGAACTTTGGTGTGGGAGGGGGGGGGTTGATAAAATGATGCAATTAACATGGACTGAATTTAAATATAAGATAATAAACCATTTGTAATCAAACAGGACTGAAATTTGAAACTAAAGGATTGAATTAATAAGGTGAATATTTTTCAAAAAATGAGTTATCAGCATTCAGTAATATACAGTCAAAAATAATTAATAAAGCTGAGCATATTATAGTCATCTATGGTCCTCCTTCAATCAATATAAGTCCGAGATCAATGACGGGTAGGAAACTCATATGCTGATTTTTTTTTCCCCCTTTAATTTCAACTCGCATCCCACCCATTGGATGCCCGTATGATCTTGCAATTCCGTATTAAATCATACTGTAAAGCAGTGAACATGTTTTTGTAAACTGAAATTATAAGAAAACGCATGATTAAGTAGATTTGTGTTAATATACATTCCTCATAATAAAAGATTAAATAAATAGCATCTAGTGATGAAAAGAAATATTTTTAATATAGCATGTCAACAAATTAAGTAGATTATATTCAACGCTAACCTAAAACATCATCTACAATATTCTCAAGAAGTTTCACTCCAATATACATGCAAAAGTCCCCAAATGTATGTCTCTGGGATATTGAGCTTATCCACCAAAAGGTTCTCACAATTTCGAAATCTACATACACCTACTGAACTGACAAGAATTTAATGAGTCTGTCAAATTTTGATTATTAAATTTATTTGAGGTGTTTAACCAAGCAGGCCAGTTGCTTTCTTTCACTCTTATCATTCCTTCCCCCTTTCTGTTTACTTTCAGGGGTAAGCTGAAGCATCCTCGACTTCACTAGGATAAAAACCCTCCCCATGACCCTATCACAAGGGATAAGCATCTGAGTTGCATCATAAAGCTTGCAAATCTTGAACACTAATCCTAAGAATTTAGAAAAACCCCAATTTCTTTCACGTGATATAATCTAATGAAAAATTTCCCTTGACATAACAGATATTTCCCACCACAAAGTCAAACTTCATGCTCTAAGTCTCTCATCATCATTACCAAGCTTCAATTCTTTCCCTCAAATCCCAGATTCCTTCAAGCAGTCAAAACATGACCAACATGAGAAAAAAGCATGTGATATGGCAAATGTTGCTGCATTCATTATATAAACGACGGAGAAAACCAGCACATGGCCAAACTTCACTTAAAAGCAGGCACAATGTAACAAATACTAAATTCACGGAAACAGTGCATAAAAATATTCCATGGCCAACATTAATCCAGAAAAACAAAGCAAGCATATTTCTATAGAATGTACTATCAAACCTAGGACTAAGAAGACACTTACCAAGACATTACAAAACTGAACTACATCCCCACTTGCAACAACACGAGGAAGCCTCTCTGAACTTTCAGCAAAAATATTAACCGATATCCCAGGTTTCCCATATGATTCATCAATTATTCTTAGTGTACAACAGTAATCTGCAGAAATTATTCAAGTAAGCCAACCAGCAAGAGAAGGAATAACCTAGAACTTCTTGTTTTCAAACTTAACCAAGAACAAAAACAAAATCCTAGCCTTTTCGAGTAACATTCAGCGAAACTAAGGTGGCCTAAAAAGACATAAGCTTGGAGAAGCACAAATATGCAACAAGACACAGAAGAAAACGGTAAGGAGGAAAAGTTTTCGGAGAACCGAAAACAATCACCACGTTGAACACTACTCAATGAAACAAAAGACTTTTAGTATATATTGGCATCAACCAGAGCATAATCATGAAACTGGCTGAGAACTTACACTTCTAAAAAAAAAAAAAAAAACACAATCGTCAATAAGTGGCAGCCGAAGTCCGGCCTTTGATTCATCATTGCCGGTTAATAACCGACCAAACTTCACCCTCCAAATACTGTAAAAATCCTAACGACATGAAACTGGGGGGGGAAAAAAAAGAGGCGAAATTTGAATAATCCTTGCTCTGTTTTAAGCAGAAGTTCTTGGAACAGAAAGTTTACCAGTGCCCCTAGTACGCCTTGGGAAGCCAAGATCAAGTATAATGCCTGCTATGTTCACTTTTTGATTGATAAATTTCACAGCATCTCGTATGGGAAGATATTTGCAGTGGTCCGGTGTTCCCATTTCTCTCTAATTCGTTGTGTGCGCACCTCCGCACTGTGCACAGGAGGAGCAGCCCCGGCGCCTCGTTGAATAAATAATAAAATAAAAGTATGTAAGAAAAGGGATAAAATAAGAAGAAATAAATACCAATTTATTTTTCTATGGAGGTTTGACAAAATTTTACAAAGCTAGCTGAAGAGGACAGCTCCTGTAAACATATATCGCAGCACAACCCTTGACGATAGATTGCACAAATGATATTAGAAAGCATTATCGCTTTCAGAAAAAGATTAATTATCGATAGGGCATGCGATGGAGAAACACATGAAGTGCAAACATAATATCACTGTCTTCAATGCTAAGATTAATATGGAAATAAAAGGATAGACAAACTTTCAACAAAAAATTTAACACGAAACAGAGACTCATGGTCTGATAAGCGTCACAATGATGAAAGTAGGGCATTACATAATATAGCTGAAAAGGCAGGATGTGCGTAATTTGAAGAAACCAAATACCAAACAAGTACAAAATTTCAGTTTGAATCAAATTATAAGATTACACTCTACACATCTGATACGACATGCTAGAGTAGTAATAGGAAGAGAAGTGAGGAGTCAGCAGGAGGAAGTTTAACTGTTTAACTTGTTCCTCAGGAAATAGAAATGGTAGCCTTCTGCACAGACTGCACTTACAAGAGCTCTTCACTTTTTTCTTTTTCTTCTTGGTGGGGGCATCAGAAGCCTTTACTTCATCATACCTGTTTATAAGAGAATCCCTGGCAGCTATACCATATATTGATGAAATGTGGGAACATAAACTTGACCCCTGGTTGAAAGCCCATGTTAGATTATGGGCAGACTATGTCGGCAAAAAGGTTATTTGTTTGTGTTTTTGTTATCCTTCTTCGTTCCTCATGCTCTGTTTAATGATTTCATTCTTCTTCTATCTTTTCATGTCAACGTACCGTTGTCTGAAAGGCTATGTGGTGTCCTTTGCTGTGATTTTCGCGTCGGGAAAGATATACGTGCCTGTAACAAAAAGTTTTCAGGTCTGGTTTCTGGTTGGGGAGAAAAAGTAAAACTACATGAATACCAAAAAAATCAAACCCTCTGACACTCTGAGCTCGACTGGTAAACTGATAAATTTATCTACTTTTGTTTTCAGTAATACTACCTACTATCCTAATTAGGGATGTTCGCAGGGAAAAGACCAGAACAGGCCCGTTCCAGTGAATAGAAACGGAAAAAGGTTTTAGTCTCGTGTCCCGTCCTATCCCGATTCAGTCCGATGGGACCAAGACGGAATCGGGACGGGATGGGACGTCCTGTTCCCCTTTTTTAAAAAAAAAATTATAATTTTTTATATGAATTTTTTTTATGTTATAATGCTTATTTTTTATTGGGCTTCTAAAGATAAAAACATTATAAAAAATATTATGTAAAAAGCTCAATTATATAGTATAAAAAAAAGTGTAAAAACAATACTGTAAAAAAAAATACAGTAAAAGAAACATTATATAATGGTTTTATGAATTATTTTATTGAGGAAAGAGATATTGTTGAGATAATACTACAATTTAAGAGCTAAACATCACTATAAAAATAATTATTATTATTAATAAGTAAATTAAATAATCTAATAATAATTATTAATAAATAATTTTTTTAAAAAAATACCCCGGGATGGGACAAACCCATCCTGCGTCCCATCTCGTTCCGGTCATTGTCCCGTCCCGTCCCGTATTTGTCCTGTCCCGAAATTTTTTTTATCCCGTCCCGAACTCATCGGAACCGGGCGGGACAAATTGAACACCCATAATCCTAATTATAAGAAATATTATAAAACCGAATGTAATAAAAATTTATCTACTTTTACTAAAAAAGCAATAAATAAAATATTAGTGCGAGATATCACGTTCTCTTTGACCAAAATTTTAAAACTCGGTGCACCTAGAAAGTAGGATCATAATATTTTTGTTTTTAAAATTATTTTGAAGTTGCTTACCTGTGCACGCAAATTCGACCCAATTGGCTTTGATCTTGAACTGAATGTCCTAACTTGAAAGACAAAGTGGCCAACCTTTTATTTATATTATTATAGGGAAGGACTCACAAATCACAATAACTCCAAATATGCTCAAATACACTGACGTGGACATTTTATGATTCTTTATTTATCATTTATCACAATGAATTATCAGAACAAGAAGAACACTTGGAATTGATTCAGAAATTTTACTCAACTCCAAATCTTTTCTTGATCTGCAACACAAAGTCATAGACTTGATGTGGATGAGGGAGTGCGTCTGAAACGCTCTGCCTCTGATAACACCTTGTCACCCATTCCATGAACCTCGGGCACTCCTCTTCCACGCTGAATTTGCACATCCTCTCGTACGTATAAAACCTGCAAGTGATTGGTATCAAAGCGATATCCAGGAGTCCAAAATGATGGCCTTCAAAATAAAGCTTGTCTCCCAGTTCATTTTCCAAGAGCTTCAAGCAATCTATGAACTCCTTCTTCCCACTCTCTTGTTCTTCTCCCTTGCAAGCCCACATCTTCCTACCACAATCCGCTATCTGCAAACATCAATCCATCGCTCCTCACATTAAAAAATGACCCTACATCACAAGATCTGATTTGAAACACATTTATTTTATACAAGAAATATAACAGTTCAACTCCAGAAGATTGGTAGCTATGTGATGTTGGATGCAATATTACTAGCCGAATTCTAACTATGTCAATTCATATTGATCGATCTGAGAGAGACGACCTGACCTTTTTGTCAAAGAAATCAATCCAAAACATTGCCCTGGCTCGGTTGTGAGCATCATCAGAGCAAAGACGGTATTCGTGCTTCCAAACCTCATCAATATATTGAAGGATGATGAGGGACTCGCAGATGGGCCTGCCATTATGAATGAGCACTGGAACTTTCTTGTGGATGGGATTTGATTTGAGAAGCAAGTGGCTCTTGTTTCGATTCTCAAATATATCTTCTTCCTCCTTGTACTTAAATTGAATTCCCTTCTCCAGCAGAGCGATCTTCACTCTCATCACATAAGGACTAGTCCAGAAGCCCAAGAGTATTACTTCTTCCATTTCAAGCGTCACCACATTCCTGGTTCCTCCTCTTATGGATATATAACAGAATAAATATGCCAGATTGATAGGAACCAAGTCATTTCATTAATTAAAGAAAAAAAAAAAAGTCCATGATGCATGAGCCTTTTGACTAGTCATCTCTTGGTTCTTTCTCTTGAGTTTATATAATACAAAATAAACATGCCAGATACGAGGAAGCTAGTCCTCCCTTTTTTTTTTTAATGGTGTCTATCAAATGTGTCTTTGACAAGAAACTAAAGACTATGGAATGAGCCTTTGACAAGAAACTAAAGAAGACTATGGAATAGCTTCTCTGCAACTTAACATTTACAAAACTCCTATTCATGCTTAAATTTAAAATTAAAATAACTTTTTCCGAACATCAAAGATAAATACACACATAAATCCACTAATTAATGATTTGTCGTGGAAAAACAAAAGTGAAGGCCAAGTATGCAATATAATGATCTCAATCTCGATATGACAAATTTTGGGATTTACTGGTACGATTTTCCCACTAATTAAAGTTAGGCGCAGAATGATAAGAATAACTGATTGGGCACAAATGATGATGACATGCATATTCACCATTATTTCATCATTACCAACAGCATTTACCACAATAGTGACACTAACGGCATTGACAAATGCTAATCCTATGGAAGCTTCCTAATATATTATAATCGAAGTTCAATCTCTTATGACAAATTTAACTCTGGAGTGCAGAATTGGTGGGATCTTTTAGAGTAATAAAGTTCATCTTTTATTTTCCTTAAAATAACTATAAAGTGCCTTTTCTGTGATAACATCACATTAATCGCTTTCAATATTATTTTTATTGATAATTTATTATAATGATAAAATTGATTTTGAATTGATAGTCAACATTAAAAACCTGAAACCAAAACTGTTAGTAACCGAACATGAACATTGAATAGGATCAGGAGGCGGAGGAGGCGGCGGCTGTAGAAGTCGACAGAAGCACACTGTGATGCTCAAAGCATTTACTTGGCATAATAAGGTAGAAGATGACATTATCCGACAGCTCAATCCCATAATTCTCCACTTCCTATTGTATTTTATAGTACACTTTCGCATAATTATCCATGCCCCACTATGGATGTTGTGAAAGTTCTATATATCTGCGCTTTTACATTAAAAAAGATATATTATTAATGCATAATGAAATGATGCACGCCCGCTAATCATATGGTCATATCTTAGTTCTAAATAAGCAAAAGAAAACAGAGTCATCTTGTTATCAGCGTGATGCTACCGTACCATTCTCTAAAAAAGGAGAATCAGAAACTGGTGTTGAATTTCAGTACTTGAGAATCATGCGATCGTAACTTAGTTCTAAATAAGCAAAAGCACTACGCACTTAAGATATGAGATGATTAGTCTCCGAGAGACACGATTACACTGGAGACTAACAAGAAACAGAGCATAATTCGTACCAGAGTCACCATATTGTGAGGCCAAATAACAATGGTGGAGATTGTTGTGTAAGAACTGTCCCCGTTTTACGTCTGCAATCTACACAGTTCTTTCTGATCCGGTCAATCCCATCTGTAGAGCACAAAGGATAGCGTTATTAGTGCAAAAAGAAGGCATGACCATGAATTTTCTTAACAACAAAGAGGAGGAGGCGGAAGAAGAACAATCAGAACAGAACAGAGCAACTAGTTTCATATTTTATAATCTCGAAATTTAATCTCTTATGATAATGATAATGTTGGAGTGCAAAATGGGTGGAACTTTTTAAAGTTCATCTTTTGCTTTCCTTAAAACAAATTACCAGTTTTGAGTGAATTTCTTACTTTATAAAATATAAACCGACCCTTATGCTATAACATCAAATTAATTACATTCCCTATCATTGATAATTTTTTATAATGATAGTTCACATTAAATTAGAAGTGATGGTCAATATAACCGCCTTCATGAAAAAGGAAAGAAAGAAAATAAAAGGAAGAGCCTAAAATTATCTAATGATTTATGCACAGGATCAGGAAAAAGATTCATCCAAAGGGGAAGAGGAGGAGGAGGCGGCGGCTATGGCTATTGCAGTCGACAAAAGGCCATCGTGAGGCACAAAGCATTTACTTCGTCGAAAGTAGAAGATGCCAAATTATACGGCAACTGAATTCCAAAATTCTCCACTTAGTATTGTATATTTTATAGTACGCTCACTCAGACTGTTGTCCCACCCATCCAGCATCCATTAACCATTATGCTAAATAGTTTAATACAAATCATACTGTGTCGATGTTGTAAAAGTTCTATATAGCTGGGCTTTCACATACAAAAATATATATTATTGATGCATAATCGGATGATACTCAGCACAAACATGGTAATCATATCTTGGCAAAATAAAACAGTCTTCTGGTATTGGAATGTTACTACCCCACCGTTTAATAAAACACTAAAATCAGGAATTGGTGCTGATTTTCAGTATATCACCATTATGTCAATGTAATGCAGTCGAAACCCAAGTGCATCCAAGTGCATTGGGATGAGTAGTCTTCGAGATAATTATTTCGTGAGTATTAAAAAGGAAACAGAGCAAAATTCGTACTAAAGTACCATAATCGGAAGCCCATCAACAATGGTGGAGATTGTCATGCTATATCTTTCCACGTCTCAGCTCTGCGAACTACCCCTTTCGTTGTGATCCTGTCACACACAAATAATAGGTTGTCAGTGCGAGAGAACGGGTGATGGTGGATTTCCAGTAGAACGTGGCGGAGGAGGAGGAGGAAGAACAAATAGAACAGAGAACGCGATAAAGCAGAGCAATTAGTTTCACGCAGTTGGCGGTTAAGTGTTTATTAACTCTCACTATATGACTGTTAAGTTAGGTCTCTGTCACTGTATCGTCTGTCTCTGTCTCTCTGTCCATGCCATCTCGTTCGGTATGCATTGCTTTTTTAGGTCTCTATTACTCTCGAATAATTATGGACGGTTTAACTCCCTTGGGTTCTGCCTTGTCTTTCTTGCTGCTGTGAAAGATTTCACAAATTTCTGATTGTTCCATTTCCCAAATGCTTTTGATTCAAATTCAGCTGATCACTTCTTTTGCAACTCAATAAAGCCCCGTATGCTTCTCGCTTTTTCTGACATAAAATGGGTTTAGAGAGGAACTTCGTCATCCAAAAGGGGTTTTACTTGATGATGGTGATTTGTGTTGGTGTTGTCCAAGTAAGTTCGATTAATGAGGAAGGTTCGATTCTTTTGGAGTTTAAAAAATTTCTTTCTGACCCACAAAACAGTCTTCACGATTGGAATTCTTCTGATTTGACTCCTTGCAATTGGACTGGTGTGCATTGCGATGATTCAATGGTAATTTCCATAAATCTTCATCAACTTAATCTATCTGGCTCTTTATCTCCAATCATCTGTAACCTTCCTCATCTGGTTGAGTTGAATTTGTCAAAGAATTTCATTTCTGGCCCTATTCCTGTTGATTTTGTTGATTGTAGTCTAGAAATATTAGACCTTTGTACAAACAAATTTCATGGTGAACTTCAGAACCCTTTGTCCCAGATTACCTCACTAAGAAAGCTTTATCTTTGTGAGACTTCTATGTACGGTGAAGTGCCAGAAGAGATTGGGAATTTGAATTCCCTTGAAGAGCTAGTCATTTATAGCATATATTTAACTGGAAGAATTCCTAAGTCAATAAGTCGCTTGAAGCAACTAAAAATTATCAAGGCAGGCTTCAATAGTCTCTCTGGTCCAATACCTGTAGAAGTTAGTGAGTGTGAGAGCTTGGAGTTGTTAGGATTGGCACAGAATCAGCTAGAAGGTTCAATCCCAAGGGAGCTTCAGAGGCTTCAGAATCTGACTGCTATACTTTGTACCAAAACCATTATCTGGGGAGATCCCCCCAGAAATTGGAAATATCAGTAGGTTGGAATTACTTGCTTTGCATCAAAATTTGTTCAGTGGAGCTATGCCAAAAGAGCTGGGGAAGCTATCTCAGTTACAATTGTTGTATCTATACACCAACCACCTGAATGGGACGATTCCTCCGGAGCTAGGGAACCTACAAGTGCTATGGAGATAGATCTCTCTGAGAACCTGTTGAGTGGTATTATTCCTAGAGAGTGGCAGATCTCTAATCTTGGACTACTTCATCTATTTGAAAACCTTCTGGAGGGAGAAATCCCCAGGGAACTCGGGCAGTTATGGCAACTCAAAACTCTAGATTTGTCGATAAATAACTTAACAGGTACAATTCCATTAGTGTTCCAGAATCTTACATACATGGAGGATTTGCAGCTCTTTGACAATAAACTTGAGGGTAAGATTCCTCCTGAACTTGGAGCTAGAAGCAACCTCAGTGTTCTTGATTTATCTGCTAACAATCTTGTCGGTATGATACCTGCCCATCTTTGCAAATATCAAAAACTGAAATTTCTAAGCCTTGGGTCAAATAGGTTGTCTGGAAATATTCCATATGGTCTGAAAACTTGCAAGTCACTTGTGCAGCTTATGCTGGGGAACAACCGGCTAACAGGATGCCTCCCTGTTGAATTAAATGAACTTCATAATCTTTCTGCACTAGAACTTCATCAGAATCGGTTCTCTGGGCTAATAAACCCAGGGATAGGTCAACTCCAGAGTTTGATAAGGCTTCTCCTGTCAGATAATCATTTTTTTGGGCATCTACCTCCCGAGACTGGAAAATTAGCACAACTTGTCTCATTCAATGTTTCCTCTAATCTTCTAAGTGGAAGTATCCTTAATGAGCTGGGAAACTGTGTAAAACTACAGAGGCTTGATTTGATCTTAGCAGGAATCAGTTAACTGGAGCCCTTCCAGATGAAATTGGCAAGCTGGTGAATTTGGAATTGTTGAAACTTTCTGATAATAAATTTTTCAGGTGCAATACCCAGCACTTTAGGGGATCTTACTCGTCTCACGGAGCTGGAGCTTGGTGGCAACTTGTTTTCAGGTAGCATTCCTTACATCTGGGAGGACTTACTGCTCTTCAGATTGCCCTTAAATGAGCCATAATAAACTATCTGGTGTAATTCCTAACAGCTTGGGGAAACTTACAGTTGGAATTCCTTTA